ATTACCAACAATTATACACCACCCACTCCACACCGAAGGATCATTCTACTTTCCCCTTTGATACCATCCCCCTTCCTACCCTTACGGAATCTCAAGTACAATCCCTTAACGCAGACATAACGGAACCGGAAATATTACACACAATAGCCTCACTGGGCAATGGTAAATCCCCGGGACCAGATGGATACACTGCAGAAATGTATAAGTTTTTGAAATCTTCGCTGACACCCACGCACACAAAACGTTCACACATATGTGGAGGACAGGGTCATACCTACCCACAGGTAAAGAAGCCTATCTTAAGGTGCTTTTAAAACCACGTAAAGATCCGCAGCTACCTGACTCTTATCGACCCATCTCCTTACTAAATGTGGACTCCAAAATACTCTCCAAAATACTAGCGAATAGACTAACGTCTATCATGCCGCATCTCCTTCACCCCATACAGGTAGGATTTACCAGGGGTAGGGCTGCAGTAATTAACATCTGGAAAGTTTTGGCAGTCCTAGAGCAGTGTTCTAGGGGATCAGGAGAGGGATGCGCCATGATAACGCTAGATGCTGAAAAAGCTTTTGATTATGTTAGACATGATTGGCTGTTTCTAATACTAAACAAAATGGGTTTCGAGGGCCATTTTCATCAACTTTTACATGCCATGTATGACTCCCCAGTAACTAGAATATTTTCGGACGGCTTTCTCTGCTCTCCCATTACTTTACTCCAAGGAACCCGTCAGGGCTGCCCCTTATCCCCCCTTTTATTCAATCTAGCCATCGAGCCCCTCTCTAGATGGCTAATTTTTAAAGCAGACCTCCATGGTATCAAAGTGGGAACAGAAGAAATCCGAGCAGCATTATTCGCAGACGATTTACTAATCTTTACGTCAAAGGTGGGAGAGGATGTACCCAAAGTATTATCTATTCTAGATGAATTTGGATCCCACTCAGGCTATAAAATAAATGTAACTAAAAGTGAAATTCTGTCCTTATCCCATACGCCTTCCTTGGGTCTCCCAGAAGTGGCACGATACGGCCTGCAAGTGGCACACGGTCATATCACCTACCTGGGCATCAAGATGGGCAGGTTGCCTTCCTCATTATATACTCTAAATTATAAACCTCTTATTGAAAAACTTATAAAGGAACTGGAACTATGGACTCTACTTCCACTCTCGCTATTTGGTAGGGCCCATGTCCTTAAAATGCTAAGTTTCCCGAAATTGCTTTACCCTCTCCAAACAATCCCGATACTACTTAAACATGCAGATGTACAGCTTCTAGAACGGGCATACACCAAATTCCTATGGAAATCCAAACGTCCCCGTATTCTGTACCGCCAATTACAGGTTCATAAGCTGGAGGGTGGACTGGGACTCCATAACATTCGGGCCTATAATTTAGCGTGCCTCTTACGACATGCCTATGATTGGTTGTTGGGCACCTCGTGCTACTCTAATCTCACTTTAGAAACTAAAATGGTCTCTCCGTGGTCGCTGAAAGCCATACTTCATACTCGCATTAACCAACTACCTCCATTACTACGCACCAACACATTGATCAGAGATACGGTTGTTGCTTGGCGCGAGTATAGACTAAAAGCAGGACTACACCCCTACATTTCAGTACATGTCCCCATTATAAATAACCCTCACTTTGCTCTGGGCTCAGATAATGAGGGATTTAGGACATGGACGGAGAGGGGGTTAAGAACTGTGGCCCAACTATTCGACCCAGATACCCATCGTCCCCTTACTTTCCCAGAACTGCAGGCGAAATTCGACCTTCTACCGCACCACCACTATCAGTACTTGCAAGTGACCTACTATTGGCGCAGCGAGACGATCGTGCCCTCCACTTTCTTCCAGACCACGGCATTAGATAGAATTTCGGCCTCCACTCCTGGCTCCATTGCCCAATTATATCCCCTTTTAAACTCTTACTTTGTACCTTCACCAGCTAGAACTTCCCTTCTTAAATGGAGGAAAGATTTCCCATTGGAAGATTATGACAGTGCCATTCTTGAGGGTTGTCACAATATTAGGAGCTGTACCCCGAATGAGCAGTGGCGAGAGACGCACTTCAGAATAATACATAAGGCATACTATGCCTTTGATTTTTTCCACAAAATACAGGCTCCCAGTCTGTACACAGCGTGTCCAAAATGTTCCCAGGAAGGGGCGTCACTACGTCACTGTCTATGGGATTGCCCTCAAATAGTCACTTACTGGGAATCAGTCATTTCCTACATGTCCGCACTACATGAATTCCACATACCTCGAGACCCATGGCTGTGTCTCTTTAGCTATTGGGACTCTGTGCCCGCAATGGGCAGACGACAACAACAGTGGATCTATGTAGCTCTATTGATAGCGAAGCGCATAATTATGCATCATTGGCTTTCCACACAACCGCCAACCACCCAACACTTCCTAGAGACATTGATGTCACTAATGTGGAAAGAGAGACTGGAGGCCACCCAAGACCCAGATCGTTACACCACAAAATTCTTTCAGAAATGGGAGCCTTTCATACTGTATCATTATGCAGGAACAGAGAGGTATGCTTTAATGTATCCCTTCAGACTCAGTACGTGGTACCTAGAAAAAAAACTAGACAAATCCCTAGGACAGCTGGAGATACTGGAGGAGTATACTCCTACTTAGGGGTTACACTAATAGATAGCGAGAATATGGGTTGTACGAGGGTTGGGACATGCCACAGTGTTATATGCATGTCACCTACTGTATGCAGAAATTAACATTGCCAGGTTGTGGTTGAAGTATCAGATAACATCATTGTAACCATGAGATGTATGCATGAGAATTATCATTGTCTTTTTTATTTGTTTTACTTTATCCATCTGTTGGTGGAATGAAAATTAATAAAGAAATGTTTTAAAAAAATACAATAGTTTGAAACATGACCAATTGGTAAAGTATACATGGGTTCTTACCATTGGTGTGGCCTAGACTGCAAAACAATAAAATGTCAAATATGAAAGATCGCACAGGAACACAAGACACTCATAAGAGTCTGAATTTATGCACAAACGGGTTAAAATTCCTTAGGAAAAATATAAAGGTCAGTATGCCTTTAAAAGTGATTTGCTGCTGTTAGGTACGATTATGAGTTATAGTTGGTACCAATGAGAGTCTATTTTGCAGGGAGAGTGAGAGGGTAGGGGTGTGGCACCACATCCCTGTGATTTATACACTTTTTTTACAAACTCATGTCTGAACAAAATGCGTTTTTATTTGTGATTCATGTTAAAATCTTTTCTTAAAATCAATAGTGTACATATCTACCTTGTTGGATTCCGATTATACTACAACATAGCAATTACATATACATAAACTACTTTAATATTATGAGTTAAACAATCTTGATGTACAGATTCGACGCATGACACCCACTTGTCTTAGGGGGAGACGAATGATCATACACAGCAGAGGGATTAGACCTACATACTATAACAAAAGGACATCTATAGGGGGGCTGTTTCAGTTATGGAGACAATTAATAGACTGGCAAAAGAGGACACAAAAATATTGGACTCCTGAGGAAGCAATACCATGAAACTTGTCTTGTACTTGTACTTGTACTTCAAGATTATATTATTCATGGTTTTAAAATTCTTTATGTATAAGTAATTACTATGGGGTCTATTCACGAAGCAGCCGAAGGATCTAGCCATAGCTTCGGTCGATCCTTTGGCTAGCTTCAGCCCCAGGACCCCTTCAGTTCAGTAGAACAAAGGGTTTCTGTACGGGCTATTCACAATAGCCCGTACAGCTCCCGATCACGGCCGAGCAGCTCAGTCGAGCGCTGAGCCGTGCTGAAAGCCGAAGCTGGCCGAGCGGCCGGCCGACAGCCTGCTTCTGCCAGCTGGGCGGAGCCAGCCGTGATCCTATGGCTGGCTCGGGTCACTTGCAGAGAGATCAGCGTCCCTGGTTACTAGCTAACCAGGGACACTGATCTCCAGACAGCAAACTAGCATTGCACCCGCACTCTGCTGATGGACCTGATGGAGAACTGCAGCAGAGGGTGGGTGCAATGCTAGTTTACTATTGGCTATTGCAAATTGAAATAGCCAATAGGAATCTAGCAATTAATTCTTTTGGGCAAAAATTATTATTATTTTTTTCTATTCTGACACGGCTCCGTGTCAGAATAAAGAAAAAAAAAGAAAAATGAGTGTTTCTCTCCTGGGCGTCCGGGAGCAGGAGACTCCCAGAGTGCCCGGGAGAGGTTTTTTTTTCTTTTTTTTTTAACGGCAGCAGAATCGCCGGCCAATAGAAAACTATCGGGTAGAGCTAGCTGTCATTGCTAGCTCCGCACAATCGGTTTCTATTCATTTTTTTGACTTTTTAAACTATTTTTCTGTTCTGCTCGGTCCCTCTGACCGAGCAGAACAGCCAAGCAGAACAGCCGAGCCGAATGCCGTTCATCGGCATTCGGCTATTCACTCACTGCTGTTCGGCATCTATAAGAATAGATCGAACAGCAGCGAGTAGCCTGCCAGAGGTTCGGCTTAGCCGATCCAGATGTTGGATTGACTGAGTCGAACTCCTCCTGCACTTCGGGTCCGTGAAGCCACCCGATGTACGGCTGATTTCAGCTGATATACGGCTGAAATCAGTCGTACCAGCCTGAAGTGAATAGCCGAAAAGCGTTCGGCTCACTTCACTTCAGGTCGGTCTTTCACTCGGCTGCCTACGGCAGCTTAGTGAATAGACCCCTATGTTGTAACATAATCAGATTGCAACAAGGTAGATATGTGCACTATTGATTTTAAGAAAATATTTTAACATGAATCACAAATAAAACATATTTTCTCAGACATGAGTTCGTAAAAAGTTTCTTTTGGCACCTAAAAATCCCCATTATGTCATTTTATGTTTTGCATGAGTTATAGTTGTTTTCAAAACTCCCCTTTTATACACACAAATTGTTCATAAATTTGCATATACAACAGAATAGAAAACATAATGGCATATTTACCCTGCTAAGTGCCATCAAGAAGTCCAGTCTCCCAGAATGTCTCATGCAGTGCCGTAGCTTCCAGTATATAAGATGCTCCCATGCGAACACCAGCAAACTCAATCCCATTGCTACAAGGAGCATGTAGAAGACACCAGCCATATTGTCAATGTCTAATTTGCTGCTCATCACTTCAATCTTGTCGTTGTGGCAAATGCCTGATAGCCAAAGTCTTTCCAGCATTTCAATTTCATCTGTGGATACAAAATGCAGTGTTCTTATTCACCCATTAAAACATTCAGAATTCCAGTGCAACGTTGAGTAGCAGTAGACTATTGTAGGATAGCTTGCATTTTCAGTTTATTAAGTTAGCCAATTAATAGTATCACTTTACTCCAACCATGGTATGTATTGACCTCAGTATGAAGAGAGGGTCCTATGGTAGCACTATTTTTCTACACAACTCCCATTATACATACATAACACTCGCCATCTTGTCTGTCCAGCAATGGAATAGCTAAACTTACCTTCACCTATGGCATTGCTCCGTTGCTGTCCAAATAGCAGGTTAAAGGGGTTCTAAATCCTAGAACATTAATGTAATATATTGCAGATTACCAGTCTTTAGATGTGCTGGCTCCATTAGTTATCTTTTTTCAAGCATTCTCCCCTTCATTTTCATCTGGTATTTGGCCATTAACACACTTCATGTCCTAGGTTGGCAACACTCATTCATAGTATCTATAGAGGAAAGTTGCCTAGGCTGCCTTCCACATTGGAACTTCATCTGTCTCTACCTTTCCTCATCTCAATAACATTGGGAGGGGTTGTATAGTCCACTGAAGAATGCTGGGAAAAGCTGATAGCATTGTTTAACATTTCAATTCAGTCCACAGAAAGTTACAAGGACACTTGATATCTGGCAAGATAAACACATTGTTTGCCACTTTTCCAGAAAATGTTCTTAACTGGGAAAAGGAAAACATATGTAGCCACCAAATCTAATGACTGGAAAGGTGTAATAGATTCCATTTTTGTTTTTGCATTTAGATATCATTTAGGTTGCTGCTACCTCACTAATAATCAAGATTCTACTGCAAATTAGCCAGGAAACAAACAACTTTCAATGTGAATGTCAGTGGTAAATTTACCAGTGTGACATGGACCTTTAAAGGTCCATACATTGTATCCAGAGGACTAGAATGGTTCTAAGTAGTAGCCCTGTAAAAACCAGTGGAAGCCTGTGACCATTCTCTGCTCAGGGTGGTCATGTTTATAAGGACTGCATTCGGGTCCTTTTAAGTTATAACAGTTTTTAGCTGCTGTCACCACTGCAGTATTAAATACCAGAATCATGTTAGGCTACATGGCTTTTTGAGTATGAGGGTTCCATGAAATATAAAAAATCAGTCAACTAGTTCTTTAAGACAGAAAGCAAGATTTCAAACTCCTAGTTAACTAACATAAAATATAAAATTGTCCTTTTTTGATAAGTGCATCTGGTGAATAATTACATTTTACAATTTCTTATTAAACTTCAGGGATGGCTCGGTTCGTCTGTGTTTAGAATTGCCAACGACCCTTCTCTGGGTAAAAACATGGACATGACTAGCAGATAAAAAGGTACCATTTAAACTGATGGATATGTAGCATGTAAACATATTCAAACATGTACTTTTGGATGAAATGAAGCTAAACAGGAATATTTAGGACAGGGATAGGTTTGTACGTTCAAGGCGCCACCAGCGATATGTGCAAGTCTCATTTGAATACTAAGCTATACTATAAGTGGATCATTTTATTATTTATTCAAATTAGCTAATTTTCAGCTTTGTTAATAGCGAGTGATTGAGTTATTTTTCGGATTAGCATAAAAAAGGCTGATTGTATTTTAAGCAAATTAAGTTGACATTTTCAAGTGGTTTGTATATGTGATAAGGGATTATTGGTTGGAATGTAGAAAATTAAGTTCAAAAATAGATCATGCAACTAGAAACTTACCAGGCCTACTGAATATTAATGAAATGCTTATAGCTCAGTTTTCCAGATAAGTAAAAGCAGCTTATTTATTTTAATATAATGTGCAAAATATAAAAATGTTGTTATTGTGCTAGAGCAAAGACAACTAAAAAGGAAAACATATGTGTTGCCTACTCATCAGATGTCTTGTTCGCCCTTGGAGCTGATCTCCTGGCAAACAGCTACTGTAAATACACAATTGAAATACATATATAGAAGATATCATATATGCCGGAGGATTTTTATTTCTTTTCATCCAGTCCAACTGTAAAATCAACCTGGTGACCAGAATTGTTTCACCTAAGCATCACAGCTAGTTCACCTTCCTGTCTACAGCCTGTGATTAAACAGTGAAGGAGCTGCAATTGCTCTGACTTCTCTGGTTTCTCCCACACTTCCCTCCTGTGGCCAATCATAAGCATCTTTATGTTTTCAGGCATGCTGTTAGGATCCAGAGCACCTCCAGGTGGCGCTGGAGCTAAGCCCTGCAGTTTCCGTACTCACCTGCGGGGGTCTCCAGGCAGCCAGGAACTGCTAGGTACCAGACCTCCACTGGGTGGTGCTGGAAACTGCAACTCCAGTGCTCACCTGCAGGTGTCTCCCAGCTGCCACCAATCATCCACCACCTGGTGCTCCCTGGGAGGGTACTGAAGCCCTCCCGGCAGTCAGGTCTGTGGCTCAGTATTGTTTCCTGTTTCACCGGAGTCCGCGGTACTGTATCCTGCTTCTGTTCCCAAGTCCTGTATCCTGTTTTAAGTTCCCTGCTTGTTGTCTGGAACCATGACCTGCTTATGTTCCTGAGTCCTGTTAGCTCCTTGTACCCTGACCTTTTGTCCCTTAGTTCCCCTGGTGTTTTGCTTTGCTCCCTAGGTTTGCTTGCCTGTTACTTTTGCATGTGGTGTGGGTTGGATGTAGTTGGTTGCTAATACTTGTTCTGTTTATATTATTCTGGTTGGCATATTAAAATGGTATATCATACATCCTGCCTTGTCCTGTGTGGTCACACGTGTTTGGTCTGCCTGTGTGGGTACCTGCGCAGGTGTGGGGTCACCTGTGCCGGTATCCCTGACAGAATACTGAGCCCACATAATGGCCAAATCGACCACACGGGGACCTGCTGGCTTTCTGAGGTATTCCAGTGCCAAGATGGATCTCGAGAGCATGCATGGTTATGTGCGTTTAGCATCCGAGACACTGCAGCACTGCCAACAATTATTCCAGCGCTCCTCCAGAGCAGAGCTATTGGAATATGTCCGCAGCGCTCACCATTTTATGGATACTGGTTGTCCTTTTTGGGATATCTAATCCAGATTTGGACAGAACTTGCTCTGAGTGGTGATAAGGGTGATGACTTTTCCCCTCCATTTACACTGCCACAGGTTGAGTCTCTAGCGTGGCTATTAGAGGATGATCCAGATTAGTTTTTTGAGTATTACTCTGCGTGTTCTCTGGATACCTTGTTGGGATGTTTCCATGCAGTGCAGTTCCTTGTTGACCATGTCGTTTGTGCGGATACCTTTGCCCAACCCCTGCTCCAGTCGTGGTCTGACCTATGGTCCATGCAGTCCAGTCCCCACTCCAGGTCCCGATCGGGTTTAAACAGGTTGCCCAGGACTACCGCAGTGACTCCTGCTACTCATAATCAAACCAACTCCTGGTTTTCCCCAGCTTCAGCTCCAGTCTGCCACTCGGCTGCGTCTGTTCCCAAGGCCACCCAGCAAGAACATTCACGTCTCCTGGCTACATCTCACCCGGACGTGGAGGATCTTGAGGAATGGATGATTGTTCAGAGGAGGAGAATTGCAGTGACTGCTCTGAGGATAAGGCTGTGGATGATCGTCTGGGATACTCAGGGCATATTCCAGCTCAGCCTGCTATGGTTCCAGTTCCTGTTCGTGACGATCCTGTTTGTGACGATCCTGTTCCAGCCGATCACGTTCATGTTCCAGCCAATCCCGTTCCAGTCCAGTCAATGCCAGTTTCAGACCGACCTGCTTCTCTGCCAGCCCTACCTGCTTCGCTGCCAGTTCCCGACCAACCTGCCCCGGTGCAAGATGCTTCGTCCCTGGGGCTTCCCTTATCCACGGCCCTCCATGCAATCCCAAGGGGTTCCCTTCACTTTTTGGACAGATTTGCCCATTCAAGCAAGTGGGGTCCTCATCCATTTCTTAAGACTCCTTGTCTTCTGGCCTCCGCTATAGTTTTGGAGTATTTTATGTTCCCTGCTTGTTGTCCAGAACCGTGACCTGTTTATGTTCCTGAGTCCTGTTAGCTCCTTGTACCCTGACCTTTTGTCCCTTAGTTCCCCTGGTGTTTTGCTTTGCTCCCTAGGTTTGCTTGCCTGTTATCCCTGACACATGCCATGCTCACAGTACACTATGGGGTTCATTTTAAATTGTTCTCACAGTGCACAGCTTTGTGAACAAGATTTGCAGCACATTATGGCCACTAGATGAAGCTGAGGAGCATAGCACATTTCTATGCCCCTCTGCTCTATCTGGTGGCCATAATGCACTGCAAATCTTTTTTGCAGAGCTGCTCGCTGTGCAAACGGTTTATAAATTAACCCTATGAGTGTCCCTCAAATATTTTGAAAGCTCATGAGTGCAAATCAATTGTTATACCAATGTTTATCCTGGCCTTTCTTGGTCTCTGTCTGCTTTGACCTTGCTGTAATCCCTGTTTGCTCCTTGCTTTGGTCTGACACTGCTCAAAGGTACAATCTTCTTTTCAAGGCTTCGTTTCCTGCTCTCTCTCTTTTTTCTTTGGTTGCGCAAGGAGCATGTCTTCAGACACACATGAAGTTCTTGGTGAAAAGTAGATACCTTTGATGTTAGGTTGTGTTTTCTCTATTTCGCTAAAGAGGATGACACCTTCTCAGTTGTCTTGTAAGAGTTTTATACTATTTTTGAAGGACAGAAGCTGCTTTAGCCCCGTCCAATTTCTGTGTAACTATAAAACCTCTATTTAAACTGTGTTCATCTGGACATCCATTTCCTAGAACAGTCTCATATATTTTCTCATTCTCTGAAGAATGGGACTTACAATTGTGTAGAAAGTAATACTGCCTATCCATGGTACACTCCAATTTATTCCAGGGTTGTTTATTATTACAACTTTAAGGAACCTTGGCCTCACTAGAGTTCATGATTGATTATTGCATTAAAACACAAGAAAGCTCTCAGACTACATAACATAAAATAAATAAAACTGTGAGAAAATATGACCTTATTTC